GGATCTACAAATCAATAGTTCGACCAGAGTTGACTTAAACATGCCCTATTTTTGTTATTTGTGCTAAAACTCATCTAAACAAACTGCAAATTTTTCAAAAAACATTCTCTAGACTTTAGAGTGAAGCACAGACTTCCAAAACCCTTATACTCTTAAAGGAAAAGAGTTTATTTTTTTTCTACATTGTTTGCTTGTTTTTTCTCTTAATAGTTTATTATTATCCGTGTGATAATGTAACTTAAATTAAAGGGAATGAAAATGAAAATAATCTACCATAAAAAGTTTTTCATTTTATTAGGTTTTGAGTGGGTTTAAGAAATATTTATGTTAATCTTGATTAATCTTAAACCGGATTTAAGGGTTTAATTTTTTTAATTTTGCTTCATTTGCTAAAAAGGTTTCTAAATTGTCAAAAATGCATTCAAATAGCTAAAACCACTTTGACTTAATTTTTTTGTTGATTATAGCTGGTCTTAATCCAGTTTCTCGGATAACTTGTTATTTGATCTCCATCGTTAATCCTGACTTATTTATTGTATTGAAATTATTTGGAAAAATAAATAAATTATGTAATACTGAGCATATCTAACTGGCTGGAACTGACAAAAAAAAATTTATTCTATTTCTGAGCGATTCATGAATTTTTTTTTTTCACTTCCACTACTTTCTTTACCATTCCTAAGCACGGTATGTCCATATTGATGTCAAGTATGTAGTTACTGATACCAAATCTCATCCAGTTTCCTGTAAAAAAGCATCCATAACATATTTCCATACAAAAAATTTTCAAAGGGATGAAGTTTGGATTTTTATTTCGATTAAAATCCCGTAATCGAAATACATATTTTGATCATTTCGATTATGATCGAAATGATTTATTTCGATTATTAAGATTAAATTTTATTTCGATTACGATTACATTTCTATAATTTTGATTAAAATCATTTTATCGTAATCGTTTTACCATTAGAATCTATTGGTTTTGTTCAGATTGAAAAATCAGTTTTTCGAATTTTGCGAGGAAATGGAGCAATATAGGTTAACATGTCTAGTGATGAAAAGTTTGTCCCTGAAATTTCACATCTTCTGCAAAAAACAGATTTCAAAATTGGTTATGGCATTGCTGAGCAAATCGCAAAATACGCTTTAAGTAAGCAAGCAAGGAAGCATGCAAGTTAATCAGCAAGAAATCGCAATAACAAGGTTTTGCATTATGGGGCAAAATGAAAAAAAATCGATGATTCAAAATTTTTTTTGACTTTTTCGAGTTACGATCTCTGGGTGATTTTTTCTTATAAAGGACATCAAAACTGGATTATGTTTCAAATTTCAGGTCATTTGGTGCTGTTTTTGCGATTCTGTGGCTGTTTGAAGTTGGAAAATGATGAAAATTTGAATTTTTTCATGCATTACTTAAACTGCAATTTCTCTACAATGGCTAAAGATATTGAAAAAAGGTTTTCAGTTCCTAATAGGAACATATAAGAGCTTTATTTTGATGTAGCACAAAGTTTGGAAATATGTAGTTGTGGTTCCGATATAGTACAAAGTATATGAAAATCCTATGAAAAATATCTTTAAACGTGCCGCAACTGTCCAAAACGGCCATTTTCCCCCCCATAAACCATATATCAGTGCAAAGTTCTTGTTTTCTAGTTTCCAAAACAGTAATAACATTGTAATTCTGTAGAGGACTAGAAAAGTTATCGCAGTTTAAGTGAGACGACAAATATTTTGCCAAAATTAAAATTTTCTCATAACTGTACAGAAAAAATAACCACAGATAAGGTTTGTTCTGTTTTTCAATGCCAAATGTTATTTAAAGATGACCTGTGAAGAAATTTTTTCAAAAAGTTCAAAATTTGTCGATATATAGGGTACTTTTGATATCTGACGACTTGTATGTTTTTTTCATCACTCAAACCACTAGTACTCTTAGAAAATTAAATATTTTTGAATTTTGCTTTCAGTTTATTGTAGCTTAAATTAGTACCTTTCTAATGATGTATAATACTTGATAGTTGACTTTGATCTTGATCATGAATATGAGGCTTGTTTGTTAGCGACCCTAAACTAGAAAAAATCTCAAAAATTTCATTTCTAGAAATACCACTTGGAAACAAAATTAAGTATTGAGTTTTGGTTTTTTATGTTAATTTATGATAATTATGACTAAAAACACTCAAAAAATTGTATTATTTAAACTTTTGGATATCTCAGGTAGCTTGTTTAAGTACGATCCTAGTAGTCTTTATTGGGTAAAAAATTCCCAAGTATTACACTATTTCTTGGATGGTTATCGGTTGATATTTCATAATTATATAGATTTTAAGCAAAATAAGTCAGTTTAAAATATTTTTGTTTGATAAATTTTGGTTTTTGACTATTTTGTTGAAGTTTAGCTTGCGTCGGTCACATTCAATTCACTCCAGAAGCAGCTTTAATGAACTTTCATACAATTATTATACATCATTTTAAAGTTATTAATTTTAACTAGCAATAACCGAAAACAGAATGCAAAAATATGTATCCTGAAAAAGGTTACAGCTCTTTATGTCCATCAAAAAGCCTACAAAAGCGCAACCAACATAGGTAAATTTACAAAAATTGAAAATTCGATGACTACTATTAGAGCAAATTGTTAGAAAAAGTTTAATATATTAAAGGAAATAATAAAAGAATAAATTTTGCCAAAATAAATGTGAAATTTCAAATTTTTGTAAATTTACCTGTGCTGGTTGCGCTTTTGTAGGCTTTTTGATGGACATAAAGAGCTCTAACCTTTTTTAGGATGCATATTTTTGCATTCTGTTTTCGGTTATTGCTAGTTAAAATTAATAACTTTAAAATGATGTATAATAATTGTATGAAAGTTCATTATAGCTGCTTCTGGAGTAAATTGAATGTGACCGACGCAAGCTAAACTTCAACAAAATAGTCAAAAACCAAAATTTATCAAACAAAAATATTTTAAACTGACTTATTTTGCTTAAAATCTATATAATTATGAAATATCAACCGATAACCATCCAAGAAATAGTGTAATACTTGGGAATTTTTTACCCAATAAAGACTACTAGGATCCTACTTAAACAAGCTACCTGAGATATCCAAAAGTTTAAATAATACAATTTTTTGGGTGTTTTTAGTCATAATTATCATAAATTAACATAAAAAACCAAAACTCAATACTTAATTTTGTTTCCAAGTGGTATTTCTAGAAATGAAATTTTTGAGATTTTTTCTAGTTTAGGGTCGCTAACAAACAAGCCTCATATTCATGATCAAGATCAAAGTCAACTATCAAGTATTATACATCATTAGAAAGGTACTAATTTAAGCTACAATAAACTGAAAGCAAAATTCAAAAATATTTAATTTTCTAAGAGTACTAGTGGTTTGAGTGATGAAAAAAACATACAAGTCGTCAGATATCAAAAGTACCCTATATATCGACAAATTTTGAACTTTTTGAAAAAATTTCTTCACAGGTCATCTTTAAATAACATTTGGCATTGAAAAACAGAACAAACCTTATCTGTGGTTATTTTTTCTGTACAGTTATGAGAAAATTTTAATTTTGGCAAAATATTTGTCGTCTCACTTAAACTGCGATAACTTTTCTAGTCCTCTACAGAATTACAATGTTATTACTGTTTTGGAAACTAGAAAACAAGAACTTTGCACTGATATATGGTTTATGGGGGGGGAAATGGCCGTTTTGGACAGTTGCGGCACGTTTAAAGATATTTTTCATAGGATTTTCATATACTTTGTACTATATCGGAACCACAACTACATATTTCCAAACTTTGTGCTACATCAAAATAAAGCTCTTATATGTTCCTATTAGGAACTGAAAACCTTTTTTCAATATCTTTAGCCATTGTAGAGAAATTGCAGTTTAAGTAATGCATGAAAAAATTCAAATTTTCGTCATTTTCCAACTTCAAACAGCCACAGAATCGCAAAAACAGCACCAAATGACCTGAAATTTGAAACATAATCCAGTTTTGATGTCCTTTATAAGAAAAAATCACACAGAGATCGTAACTCGAAAAAGTCAAAAAAAAATTTGAATCATCGATTTTTTTTCATTTTGCCCCATAGTGTTTTGGGTAAGGTAAGAACAAACGTTGCTTCAGAAAAAGCAAAAAACCTCCATTTCTTACGAATTTTTAAAAACAAAAGTTTACTTTGATGGATAGAGATAAACTTAATAATTTAAAAACTTTTCACGACTTTAAAGTGTTGTATGTTTTATTTAATTTTTCGTAAATTATTAAATCACAAAGTAGCAATCGAAAAGAAAGAATACTTTTATCAAAGAAAATTACCTCACATGCTCTTGTACAAAATACATTTGAGTAAATTTCTGCATATGAAAGGTTTTAGCATAATTAGTATCTCAAACAAACGTTAGATGTTCATTGATTCCTGTTTTTGTCTTCTTTATTAATTAATTTATTTATTATTTATTCTTGCTTTACTTTAGGCTCTACATAAGTTTCAAATAAAATCATTTTAATAATAGTCATAATAGTAATAAAAATCGTAATACAAACGAAATAATATTCTTAAAATTATGATTACCATGTAGTTTATTGTTGCGAATATAATTTCGATATAATAATAATATAATAATGTGAAAGCATGAAGATAATTGTAATTAAAGAGCATTTTTTTATATTTTTTTGTCTTAATTAAACAACACAAAATTTCTCAGATTTTTTAAGGAAATATTTGCGGCTAAATCAATGAAATAATATTATTGTTCTAATCAATTAATTTTTCATAAAATATTGAAATAATAATGTTAAGTAGGTAGTTGCAAAAAATAATTTTTGTTATATATCATGAACTAGAACCTCTCTTTATTCTTAATAAACGGAATTGAAAATAGAGAAATTATGGAAAACATGATTTTTAATGTTTTTATATTTATTTATGTAGTTTACTTCGGAGCAATTGAATTTTTTTAAATGAATTCTAATGTTATACTCCTTATCAGTTTTGTTTTTGAGTATTTGTAACTTTAGCATCTTTGCTACTCTTAGAATAAATTGATTTTACATGAATTAGCAAAGTTTTCGTATATTACACTAAGTCTGTTTTTCGACACTAAGATCTGTCACATATAATGAATGTTTGAAAAACATAAGCAAATGATAGCTTCTTGATTTATCTCAAATAATGGAAATTAGTTACACAAAAGGGCAGTTCCTGCTGTGACACGATAGTTCTCTTTATATTTTTAAAATTTATGTAGGTATTTATTATCTTATTAAGTTGTAGGAGATATTTAGGAGTGATTCAAAAGCTCTGAAAGTTAATTTAAATTAAAGTATTTATTGTTCGTTACTACTTTCTTTCTCGATTTATTTACCTGCTCATGATTGCTCGGCACGGAATTTTAAATTTTCTATTTCGTTGTCTTTCATTAGGACAACTTTTGTCCAATATGCGTCTTGTTCGCGTACCTTCGATTCAAGATTTTTAAGCATACTTTCCTAATTTAACAGAAAAACAGAAAAATATATTTAATTTTATAAAAAACAATTTTAAAACTTACTGTTTCAGCAATGATATTTTTATATTCGTCCAATGTAGTTTTAAGTTGAGCATTTTGAAAGAGAATCATTTCATTATCGGCTTTAGAAGGTGGCAAATTGGTATCGCCATTCAAATTTACTATGTTACTATTCAATTTATTTTTCTCTAAATCGCTGCAATTATTTAAATGATTGAAGTCTGAAGAGGTGTTACTGTTGAGGTTTGTTTTATTGCTAGCTAGTTGCAATTTAAGATTCTCTAATACAATCTCTAACCAGTTTGTGTCATCATTTGAAGATACTATAGTGTTTGGAAAATATTTCATAATAAGATCTTTTACTTTGGAAACATCCACAGTCTGTTCAGTCTGGAATGTAAGAAAACAAATTGTACTATTATTTCCATTTTTGAGATAAATAATTTAACAAGCTAAAACTATTTAACAGAGCTCGAAGTCGACTCGAGTCGACTTAATAATTTTTTTTGTACGCATTTTTGACCCAGCCATTAATATTTAATTTTAAGATAAAAGTGCTGATTAATTCAATAACAAAAAAGAATTTATAAAAGAATTTCATGGACCAGTTTTTTGTAATTCAAATTAGAAGCTAATAAAACAAACCCGAGCTCTCTACCGTGTCTTGATAAGAAATTATTATCGTTCCGAACAAAATGCATTATTTAGCTATAACTCATAGAAAAAAGTAACCAATATTTTAGTATTTATTAGCAGTAGTTTTTATGATAAAAATTCAATTTAACCAATAATTACTATTTTACCACTATTTTAATGAATTATTTGTTAATATTTTTCATGCAAGTTCCTAATGTTTTGTTACTTTTTTCTATGAGTTAAAAATTAACTAGCAAATTAGAGCGATTGCAGTTTGAATTAAGCTACCCTTTCTAAAATGCGGCTGAAAAATTATAACTTGATAAAGAATTGCAGTTTTATGATTGTGGCATAAAACAATACATATGTGTAGTAAATTGATGTGAATGACAAATAATTTCCCCGAGTTTTTAGAAGAACTTACAACAAAATTGGAGTTATTTGATGATTTAGTCATCTTGCTTTGTGCCACTTGAAGAGCTTCAACCAACTTCCAATTTTTCGTTCTCAAATCCTGTATTCAATTATATTTTAGCGATGGTTGAGCAAGAATTGTTTTTTTTTTTGTATAGTTTAAATATTGTTTTTTTGTTGGGGATAAAAAGAAATGTCTGAATTAATTCAAAAAGCTCAATTGATGTTGTGTTACGAAATTATTTTTTAAAAAAAAATCATTCAGAAGCGAAAAACATTAAATTTACATTTAGAACTTTTAGTTGTGTTACTTACATTGTTTTTTACTTTTTGCTCCTCTATTTGAACAGAAAGATCACTTTCTGTTTGCTTAAGTTCCTCAATTTGTTTTTGATAGTCTATGATTTGTCTGTCTTTTTCACTCATGATAGATTGATGATTTGCCATAATTTCGCTTATTTTTTCATTCAACTGTAATATAAATAATAATAATAGTTAAGAAACCACTCATTTTAGTATAATATTTATGTCATATATTACTAAAAAGTTATCACCACTTTTATGAGCTAACTGCTTTGAGTCTACTAATTGTTTATTCAGATCGTCCAATTTTTTTTTGTAGTCATTAACGAATGCCTTGTTAACATCCAATTCCTTATTTCTTGAATCCAGTTCATTTTGAAGGTTTTTAATTTCAATCTTATTACTTTCATCCGCATGATTAATATTTTGACGTTGCTCATTAAGTTGATATTTAAGCTGATCTATTTCAGTTGTCTGTCGTTGGACCATTTCTTGAACACGGGACATTTCAGCATTTAATTTTTTATTTTCACTTTCGCGTGTTGTATTATCTTAATGTAAATAACATATACACATTAAAAGCTTATTATACATTATGTGAATATAGAAATGTCAAACATACCTTGAAGACGTTGCCTTAGTTCATTTTCAATCACTTTTAAGCTTTCATCTTTCTTTCTCATACAGTTTTCATATTCTACAATTTTCCTATCATATTCATTTAACTTCAAATTGAGTTTTTCCTAAATGAAATAAAATAAAAATAGATGAAAATAGTTTTAAATAAAAGATATAAAAAAATACAGAAGTCCTCGAGATATAACTCGAGCGGATTTTTTACGCAACAATCAGTTTTTTAGCAATAAAATGCGAGTCAATAAGCAAATAGATCCAAAAGTTTGCCGTCAGCCGTATTTTACAAATTTTAGACAATAGGTATAGTTAAAAATTTTTGTCTCTAAACGGTTATTTAAATTTCAAATTTACATTTATAATCACTCAATGGGCCGATAAATCGATTGTAACGGAGCTTAAAAAAACAAACACGAGATCTCTACGATGTCTAGTTAAAAAGTTTGGAACGAACGAACAAAGTGTATATTGAGCTACCTTTTAGAAACAAGTATTCAGAAATATCCTTAAAAGCTATATAAATTTCAAATTACTTCTTTTTGACATTGTTCATCAACCAATGCATTCAGTTCTGTTACTTTTTTGTTCTTATTGGCGATTTCTTGCTGTAAAAGTTGATTTTCATTTTGAACCTGCTGGATATTTACAGAGCTTTCCTGTGCTTTCAAGCTTTCTTGAACTTGCGAATATTTTGATTGAAGCTGTTTAAATGAGACTGTCATTGTTTGCTTCTCATTGTTATGCTTTTCAATCAAAAACTGAATTTCAGACTGTAAAGTCTTGGTCTCTGATTTATAGTTTTGAATTTGTTCCACATAAGATTTTAAGTTAGCATTAAATTGAATTTTCTCGCTATTTAACTCAGTACGAAGCTCTTTTAACTTAATTTGCATGCCAAATAATGCATCCTGTTCATTCTTTAATTGTGCTTCCTTCTCTTGAAGTTGCTTCTTTAACTTTTGTAGAACATCTGATTTCCCCTCAGACCATTCTGTGGGGTCTTTTGTGATTGTATCGGATTGCTTATTCAAGAGAAAATCAATCAAAACTTGAATTTGATTTTTTGTTAAATCTGCACGACTTAATTCGCGAATTAATGGTTTTATTCCAGTTTCATCAGTTACTACTAGTTGAACTGTTTTACCATCAACAACCGACATTTGCTCGGATTTCTTTTTCTTAGTTACATTCTTCTCTTCTACATCAGGCTGATTTTTTGGAGAAACTGGTGGAGTTTCCTTAGCGGGCTTATTTTTACGGATATTTTTTGAATGCTTTTCTTCTGACGATCGCTGAATTTCAATTGCATCTTTTGGATGTATTTCCTCGAAATGATTTATTTCTTCGCTAATTTCAGTCTCTTTAACTAATACTGGTTCATTCTTATTTACAAGAATTCCAGTTTTTCCCTTGGTCCTTTTTGTGTTCTGCTGCTGAACAACAATTTGTTGCTTCGGGACGCATTTACGAGAGATTTCTGGCGACACACGCACTGTAGTCATTGCAACATTTGTTTCAGAAGATTCTGACACGTCTGACTCATTACTAGTTACTTCCTTAATAGCCTTTGATTGTATATCACGCTGTAGAAAGATTAATATGTAAAAGCATGTATTAAAGATTTTTTAGGATAAAAAAAGATGTACCTTTTTAAACTCTTTCTTAGGCTTCTTTTTGGTGCTGGAACTGCCATGCTTTGAATTGGATGTTTTCAATGTTCCCAAAACTTCTTCTCTCATTCGCTTCTTTTCGGCAATCATTTCATCAAATGTCTTTCCGTGAGGTAAAAACTTGGAAATGAACAGGTATGATGCGAATGATACCAAAAAAACGATCAAAATAATTGCATAAACTTGTAAATCCATTTTTGCATGCTCCTTTTTCAATCGCGTTCAACGGTTTTTATGATAAATATCAAATTATATAGAAGACAAAAACTTTACAAACAAAAATAATAAATGAAGGACCACTTGCACAATCCGAAATTTTTCTGTTGCAATCTAAAGTAAAGAAAAGAAGAAAAATTATATGATCACCGGCAACTGTATAAGTTATATAGAGAATTAAAAAAAAATTATATATTGGAAGTTGATTACATCCAAAAGCAACTTCCGGTTATCAATTACAAGATCAAAAAAATAAAAAATTCTATTGGGCTTTTTAAATGTTTTAAGTTGATTTTTTTTTTGTTTTTTACGAGTAATTGTTTCCAGTTTGTTGGCTTTTCAGTAAATATACACGTATCAATAGATCTTAAGGCAAATAATTGAATGAAAGCGATGACTTCATACTCAAAAAATAACTATATGCCGAGTCAAGAGTTTTTTTATATCTTTTTTAACTACAACCAGTTAATATGAATTTTTAGCTAATGTAATGAATTAACTTAAGATAAATTGCTTTTAAACTCACTAAAGCTTTGATTCAAAAAATCTAATTAATAGCTTCTTTCTTTTATCCACCGAAATTGCTGCAACGTCAACACTCAGAATATTTCCACGTTCCCAGTGACGTCACTATTTTCTTAAAGCTATAAACGTGAATTAATTCTCAAAAAATTTCCTCTAAAGTCAGTATGTTTAGTCTATTTTTGAAACATTCCATTTATAAAACAATAATTGTAGTACATATTAGCACATTAAATGATTTGTTCAAATTTGATAACGTGACACAACCATGATTGGTCCCCATTAAAATGTCTGTCAAAAAAATTAACTTAAAGTTTACTTGAAAATACCAATAGCACGAGAGAAATTGCTTACTTCCCGTGTTCAACAGCACTTAATAGTTAAAAAGTAATTAATTTCACAATATAATTTGATGTATTTACCTGATTTCTTTTAAATATTTTACAAAATATATTCAATGGTTTACTTAATTCTGCAAGCTAGAACCTTACAAATTTTCTGTGTGGTGAAAATGTTGAAACCTTTTTTTTTTTGAAATTTAAAAAAACGGTTTTAGAAATTTTTCCACGGTAAATTTAAAAAATTTGACTACACATTTACATTACAAATGTCAAAATTTATAATCCATTGAAGTTTCTTTCGTTTACTTCACAAAATTTGTTAAACCTACATTAAAAATTTTACGAAAATTCGAGTTCGAATTTTGAAACATACTTCTTTTTAAATACAAATTTTAAATTTTTTTTTATATTTTTCGCTCTAGAACCTACACAGTTTACAGCTTGCTCAACTTATTAAAAAATGTCACAAAAGTCGTATACAGCAAGATTAAAACAGGATTATATAAGGTATTTAGTCAGTCCTTAAGCTATTTTTTTACAAATCAACTATTTATTTATTTTTTTCTGATCGGACACATCATTCTTTATATATTTGTCTATGTATTTTTTTCTCCGTTTAATTAAGCTATTATTACTAGTCGCCATTATAAATGTAAAGTCATCTAGAACCAACATCAAAAATGGTTTTTGTCTGAATAGATCCTTCTTTTTTGTACTGGACATTACTTAAATTATTCTGGATCTATGTTTTTTGTTCTAGACATTACTTTAATCCTAATGGATCTTTATATTTAGTTTTAATCGCATTTTTGAAAGGGGAGCTTAATTATTCACTTTGTTCGTTCGGCAGCTCGGCAGAGTCAAACTGAAATCTTATCAACTACACATTGTAGAGAGATCGGGATTAGGCTTAATCGAAAAATTGTTTTATTCACTTTGACTAGGCATTTTTTTAAAATAAAGTACATGATGGTCGTAGGCATAGAATAGATTCGCTTTGGCAAAAATGCTCTGATGTCCCTCAAAAAAGAGGACTTTTGTAATTCGACCGTTCACATACAACAAAGACTTCTTATAAAGTATTTGTTTTTTCTTTTCTTGTACTTCTAGACTAAAACAGGACCCCGTTCCTTATATACATGCCGAGTTTTTGCCTTCGAACATTCTTGAATGGCATTATGTTATTATTGGTCCCACAGACTCACCGTACTCTGGAGGTTATTATCATGGAAGTTTAATATTCACTAAAGATTTCCCATTTAAGCCACCATCAATTTACATATATACTCCAAACGGAAGGTACCTAAAAACATTTATTCCTGTCTTATCTTTATTTTCAATAGTTAATTGTCGTTTAAAATAGATTCAAGCCAAACAAAAGACTTTGCCTGTCGATTTCTGACTATCATCCAGACACTTGGAATCCTGCATGGTATGTTATTTTTATATTATACATTTTTTTATATTCACACCGTTTTCACGTGTGAATCTATTGGTTTTGTTCATATTGAAAAATCAGTTTTTCGCATTTTGTGAGGAAACGAAGCTCAGCTGATTCGCTAGCTTTATACCTTCAAACTTATGCTGAGCAAAGCTCAGCTGACTCGCTAGCTTTATATCTTCAAACATATGCTGAGCGAAGCTCAGCTGACTTATCAAGCTTTATACATTCACACTTATGCTGAGCAAATCTTGATCTATCAATAAGACTTTTTATGGTACGGTGTGAATATATTCGTATTGGGTTTCCACCCGGTACGCTAGTTATTGCATTTGCCTTTGGCTTGCTGGCTCCAGTTTTTGCATTCCAAATCAAGAATTTTTAGTGTACCAGTGATAGGGTTTCTGAAGCCGTTAACGAAAAACGGAAAACGGCCGTTAACGGTACAAAAATTGAAAACGGAAAACGACCGTTTTTCATTCCGTTTTTCCGTTTTCTCATAGTTCATACAATGAGATTTTTAAAAAAATTTCTGTTTATTTCCTTTAAAAATTATTCTCAAAAACAGTTAAAAGTTTCTGCAATTGAGATTTATTATTATGGATTGCCTGGAAAATTTGAAAATCTCATTTCAAGTATATTAGAATCAGAAATGTAATCATAGTTGCGAGTCCAGAAAATCTTCAAAAACTTTATGATGCTTAGTTGTGTATTAAGCCGACATCTACAGATGTAGAGCGAATATTTTCAATCAGCAATAATTTTTGCACAAAGATTCGTTCAAGGCTGGCTGATGCATCACTAAATGCTCTTGTTTTTCTTAAGTTTTATTATAATAAAATGAATAAACAGTTATAATAAATGTAAATAGAAATCTACATATTATCTATATGGGCAATTCCACGGATGAGTTGCATTTCGAAAAAAATAAATTTTTGATCCATGTTCTTTAAAAATTTGATTGCTTCAAAAATAAACTTTAATTAAGCTTACAGTTTTTAAAAAAAAGATCTTCATTGACTATTAAACTTTTAAAAAACAAGGTTCTAATCAAAGAAATTATTGTTAATCAAACTAAAAATTGGTTTTTTAAAAATTATTTGCTCACGGATTTGGCTTAAGCATTGGTATATTACATTAATTGCATTAAAATTATTCATTTTTCTGTCTATTGAGTGTTTTTCAAGTCAATTTAAGTATGCAGAATCATCGAAGAGGATAGAAAGAACGGTTGACAATAAAGACAACATTAATAATTGCCCGTATAGCACAACAATTCTTTATCTTTTGAGGAATATTTCATTTATATTTGGTTATTTAAAAAACTTAAAACGGTCCGTTAACGGCCGTTATTGAAAATAAAAAACGGAAAACGGCCCACTATGGGCCAGAAATGGAAATTTTTTTCAAAAATTATTTCTACAACTTATATGATAGTCCTTATTCTGTCCTACATTTACGTCCTTAAAACTTTGCCCAAGTCGACAGCGTGTCCGAGATATGGCACTTCAAAGTTGGTCAGACGACCATTTTCACGTTACATTGAAAATGCTCTCACCAGTCACTGGATGGATGAATCTCCTTCAATTTTTTTTTGGTAATAGCTTTAAATAGTTCCTTCATTTTAAGGTATAAACAATTGCAAAAAACTTTGGAAAATTTTGTGAAAAACTTGATTTTTCTCAAAAACCACGTGTTCGTCATACTTCCGTTTGTGTAGGTCTTCACAAGCACAACCAAAGTTACTAATTTCTTTTTTATATTAAAGATTACATCAAAAGCTATAACTTTTGCATACATGTCGTATAATTTTAACAAAGTTTTGGTAGTGAAAAAAATTTTTTTTATAAAAAAAACACCAATTTTTTGACAAAAATCGCTGTAGTGCTCCAGGGATACCCATGGTAGTGGAATTTTATTTCACATTTAGAAAGCTCTCTGGATATGCTATCAATTAATGCAGTAAAATGAACAAGTGTTCTCTTGGCAAAGAGCACTTTTTTGACTCTGAAAGTCGTATGTCGAGCAAGGTCAAAAAAGAAAAATAATCATAAAAATTTCAGTTTTAAGTAAAATTTAATTTTTTTAAGTTAGATTGATAGATCTTTTTAAAACGCGTCTTTTGAGTATAAATATGTCATAGTTTTGTCAAGTTTCATGATCAGTTTTTTAAAAAAATAGTTTTTTTCAAAAAAAAACTTGAAAAATAAAGTATTTGACTTTAGAATTTCATAAAATGCATTCTTTTTACCACGTTTTTCTTAACTTGCTTTCTTGTCTTTCTGTCTTTCTGTCTTTCTGTCTTTCTGTCTTTCTGTTTGTCTTGGTCAAATCTTGCAATCAATTTTTCGACCACTTCTACTGCTCCAATCGAGCTCAAATTTTTTATTCACACGTATTCCCGGTGACAATACAATATTTTAACACTTTGGAACCACAAAAATGCTTAATTATAGTACAATTTATGTAAAACTTTTTTATATGGGAAAAAATCCAACGTCAATGATATGAAATTTTGATTTGTTTAAAATATTATACTTGAAATGCTCAAAAGTCATTTATATGATTCATTATAGTTTAATAATTATTACTAATTATTAATTATACCATAAATTTGAGCAGCTAAAGATATTCTGGTAAGACAAAAAAATTGACATGTAATTTTTTCATGAATATTCGTAAGTGAAAATTTGAATTTTCAAAAAAACCGTTAAGCAATAAATACGTTACGAATTAATGCAAAATAACTATATATATGAGATATGCATTTACCACACATAGTTTGAGCATAAATTTATGCTGTTTTAAATGTATTGCATTATTTATAACACTTCACCAACTTAATTAAATTGACTTTTCATTTTATTAACGGCTTGACGTATTTTTGCATAACATATAAATGATACTCATTGAATTTAAATTTGAAAATCCGTTATAAATACGTTACATATAGATTTGATTTGCATCTTTATGTTAAGAATCCACACGTTATGTAGTAGGAATGGTTCGGATAAACACAAAATCTTTACGAGTGATTTTTAATGTACTTTACTAATGAATGCTTTAAAAAAATTAAATTTTATAAAACGAATGAAAAATTTTGAAAGTCGTTACTAATTTCCCATTGAAAACTGGTAATTTATAAACAGTTGAACGTAACGGAGTGAAACGAAGTGGAGTTCAACACACCTGTAACCTATAAACCTACTGTAATCTATAAACAGTTGAACGTAACGAAGTGCAACGAAGTGGAGTTCAACACACCAGTAACCTATAAACCTACTGTAATCTATAAACAGTTGAACGTAACGAAGTGCAACGAAGTGAAGTTCAACACACCTGTAACCTATAAACCTACTGTAATCTATAAACAGTTGAACGTAACGAAGTGCAACGAAGTGAAGTTCAACACACCTGTAACCTATGAACCTACTGTAATCTATAAACAGTTGAACGTAACGAAGTGCAACGAAGTGAAGTTCAACACACCTGTAACCTATGAACCTACTGTAATCTATAAACAGTTGAACGTAACGAAGTGCAACGAAGTGAAGTTCAACACACCTGTAACCTATGAACCTACTGTAATCTATAAACAGTTGAACGTAACGAAGTGCAACGAAGTGAAGTTCAACACACCTGTAACCTATGAACCTACTGTAATCTATAAACAGTTGAACGTAACGAAGTGCAACGAAGTGAAGTTCAACACACCTGTAACCTATGAACCTACTGTAATCTATAAACAGTTGAACGTAACGAAGTGCAACGAAGTGAAGTTCAACACACCTGTAACCTATGAACCTACTGTAATCTATAAACAGTTGAACGTAACGAAGTGCAACGAAGTGAAGTTCAACACACCTGTAACCTATGAACCTACTGTAATCTATAAACAGTTGAACGTAACGAAGTGCAACGAAGTGAAGTTCAACACACCTGTAACCTATAAACCTACTGTAATCTATAAACAGTTGAACGTAACGAAGTGCAACGAAGTGAAGTTCAACACACCTGTAACCTATGAACCTACTGTAATCTATAAACAGTTGAACGTAACGAAGTGCAACGAAGTGAAGTTCAACACACCTGTAACCTATGAACCTACTGTAATCTATAAACAGTTGAACGTTACGAAGTGCAACGAAGTGGAGTTCAACACACCTGTAACCTATAAACCTACTGTAATCTATAAGCAGTTGAACGAAACGGAGTGAAACGGAGTGGAGTTCAACACACCTGTAACCTATGAACCTACTGTAATCTATAAACAGTTGAACGTAACGAAGTGCAACGAAGTGAAGTTCAACACACCTGTAACCTATGAACCTACTGTAATCTATAAACAGTTGAACGTAACGAAGTGCAACGAAGTGAAGTTCAACACACCTGTAACCTATGAACCTACTGTAATCTATAAACAGTTGAACGTAACGAAGTGCAACGAAGTGAAGTTCAACACACCTGTAACCTATGAACCTACTGTAATCTATAAACAGTTGAACGTAACGAAGTGCAACGAAGTGAAGTTCAACACACCTGTAACCTATGAACCTACTGTAATCTATAAACAGTTGAACGTAACGAAGTGCAACGAAGTGAAGTTCAACACACCTGTAACCTATGAACCTACTGTAATCTAAAAACAGTTGAACGTAACGAAGTGCAACGAAGTGAAGTTCAACACACCTGTAACCTATAAACCTACTGTAATCTATAAACAGTTGAACGTAACGAAGTGCAACGAAGTGAAGTTCAACACACCTGTAACCTATGAACCTACTGTAATCTATAAACAGTTGAACGTAACGAAGTGCAACGAAGTGAAGTTCAACACACCTGTAACCTATGAACCTACTGTAATCTATAAACAGTTGAACGTAACGAAGTGCAACGAAGTGAAGTTCAACACACCTGTAACCTATAAACCTACTGTAATCTATAAACAGTTGAACGTAACGAAGTGCAACGAAGTGAAGTTCAACACACCT